TATATATATTATAACGCATTGCTTTGAATATCTCTTTACAATATTTTTGTCTTTAAATTTGAATTAAAAAATTTAGGTGACAATTCTATAATATAATTTACAAGAAATTGCCTTAGATATTTTTATTACCATTTTTTTCTCTAACTTCTATAAAAAAAAATTAAAAAATAAAAAGTATCCGTTGGGCCCGGGACCGGCCCACTTAATCCGGGACCGTTAGTTCGTGGTCCCGGTCCCGGGCCAGTTCCATCAAGAAGCCCGGGACCGCTTAGGACCGGCCCACATAGGACCGACCACTTAGGGGCGGGCCTGCGAAGCCCACTTAAAATCGGGCCCGGCCCACATGCCACCCTTAATGTAGCCAAAACATGTGCAACTTTATTTCCTTCTCGGAAGTTATGCCGGATCATTGGATTCCCCAGTTCCTTCAGTGGTAATCTGCTCTCATAAACAAGGTTAGTGTAGAGGGAATAATTGTTATAGCAAAGCAATTGAAGTATTTCTGTAGCATCGGTTTAATTTCCAAGCTATGAAAATTATTTGTTTGTGCAACATGGAGGTCATTCTTTAGTGCAAGAAGTTTCATGTAGGTTGAGGTGTACCCATAAGAGGGGATATGATAGCCTAGAACCCAGTCCCTAGAGTTATTCCAAAAAATGCCACTAATCCCACCTTTTTAATAACTACCTTTGAACACCCATCAATGTTGAGTTTTAACTCTGTTGCGGTAGGGGGTGCCACTATACAGCTATTTTGGTGACATTGTTATTTTGGTTTGGTGAGTTAGTGGAGTATTTGTATTCCATGCATCGCATGGCGACAAAATTAAGGATGAGTAGGTTACACAGGTTATTGTATTGGTTGTTATTCCTATTGAGCCATAGGTGCCAAACGGTGAAAGGGAAGAATTCATTCCAGGTGAGATTTAAGTGGTCAATATTAATAGGCAAGTCTTTGAGATTTATGAGCCAGTGGTTAGAGTTGAGGTCTAGAGTTTGGTTCTGCGAGATTATTTCTTTCCAAAGGATTGGGCTATTGGACATTAGAAGAGTATATATGGATTATGGATTCATTGATTCCTTTACATATTGAACAAACTGTATCAATATCTAAGTCTATATGATGAAGATATGATTTAGTAGGTAGGCGGTTATGAGAGCATTGCCATAGGAAAAATTTAACTTTATTAAGTGTATACAGTCGAAATAGATTTCGTCCTTCCTATATTCGATCGAGTTCGAATGGTAAGCAACCGGAGTGGGATTTCGGAATGAGTTCCGAAGACAGTACAAACGAGCCTCGAGTTCTTTGAAATGTTACTTCTCGTGTTCTTTGAAATATTTTTTATGCTCCATTCATTACCGATTTCCTTTCATGCAGGTGTAACCAAGGATGCCGTTTTGAGGCCTTCGAGTGGTGAAGAAAGAACCAAGTCCCCGGTCCCGGAACCGGGGAAAGATAAGAAGCGAAAAGCTATCTCTCGGTCAGAGGACCCCAAGCCCAAAACTCGAAGGGTGAGGAGGAAGGCAATCGCTCTTTCGATGGACTCGGTCCAACGACTGAGAGAAGAAGAAGAAGAAGAAGAAGAAGAAGAAGAAGAAGAAGAAGAAGAAGAAGAAGAAGAAGAAGAAGAAGAAAAAGATGATGCCTTGGCTTTGGTGATTCGATCTGCGAAAGCTATCGAGGCCGCCAGAGCTTCTGAGCCGATGGAGGCTGTACCGGTCGGGGTCGGTTCCGGTACCCTGAGTCTCGATCAGAGCGTCCCGAGCGATTCGCTTGGGACTATGACATGGGTCATTTGCCTTCTCTTCCAGCCTTTTTTGAGGAGGCGTTAAAGGAAGCTCGGGAATTGAAGACCCCCGATATGGGCGGAGGCTCTAGTGTAGGGGATCCTTTTTGGGATTGCTTTACTGGAGTCGATGATGCCTCTGACATTGGTGACGCTTCTCTTCTCCTAGAAGAGGCCCAACGTTTCATTTCTCGGGTAATGATTTTACTGTACTTGGTTTCTTCGTTCTTTTCCAAACTTGACTTGTGTTTTTCCCTGCTGTGCAGACCATTAGTAGGTTTCGAGTTGACCTCAGCCAGTGTGAGGTCGAGCTTCAGAAGGTCTCGAGGGAGAGAGATGCCCTGCGGCTTCTTTGCAGCCAAAAGGATGAGGCTATAAAGGACCTCCAAGCAGATTTGGCTAAGGCTCGTGAAGAAGAAGCTTTCTCCTTCTGAGGTATAGTTTTCGAAGTTTTGGCCATTGATATGAGAGAAAGAAAGGCAAAAGAAGATGAAAAGTTGATGGCACCAAACGCTGGTGTAGATGGCTCTGCAAACAGCGAAATAGAGAGAGAGAGGGTAAGAAAATGTGGAAGAGTGAAGACGTAAAAGTGGTAAATATTCGATGGAGGGGTTATTTATAGGCTTGCATCGTGGCGGTTCAATATCAGAGGTGGCCGACCACCGTCTGACATGCATTAAATATCTTGAAAGACTAAATCGATGGGACATCTATCACATACGTCATGATCGAGCCCTGTGAAAACGTCAGCTTATAACCCGATCGAACCGTCGAAAATCATATCGATTCTCACAACATCCTTCCTGAGAAACGAGGGGACTATCTGTATACGGTTGAAATAGATTTCGGTCTTCCTACGTTCGATCGAGTTCGAATGGTAAGCAACCGGAGTGGGATTTCGGGATGAGTTCCGAAGATAGTACAAACGAGCCTCGAGTCCGAAGGTTGATCGAGGAGTCGACTCGATACTATTATCGAGCCCATAACCAAATCGACCCGCAAGGCAACATGAGGATAGTCGGAAATGCGCTACACCCACCCCGAAGGTCGAACTCAAGCCAAAGCCGAGGGCTCGACCCAATAACGAGTTCAAGCCAGTATCGAGATCGCAGACAAAAGCCGTTACAACCGCACTAAGAGAGAGAATCTTGGCGGGAATCGAGGAAGAGACAATTCATCATGGGACCTCCACTATATGTTTTGTTTTATTATAAATAAAATAGGATCCCTCTACTATAAAAGGAGGAATCCTTGTAAGCATACAAGCAGCTCATACACTGTAACTAAAAGATCACTTCTCATATTGAAAAATATCCCCTTGTGCTTGTTTTACGTTATCTTATTCATTCTTTTTGCTCACTATTCTCATTCTCATAATCAAGAATACACATATTTCTATTTCTCAATACGATTTATATCAAATTGTAACGCATATCCTTAGAACCATACACAAATTTAACGTTATCCCATTTTTCGGGTAAACATTAAGAGTATTTAATTTCCAGATCCAGTAGAACTTATAGTTGATGTGGGGTGGCGGCGAGATGAGTTTATAGGTTGTTTTGGTAGAGAAGGAGCCATTAGGAGTAACGACCCAAATTGGTATATCTTTGGAACCTTGTAAGGTGGAAATACTAATAGAGCAGATTTTTGGGATGACATGGAGGGGTAAACCGTAGGAAATTTTGGAGAGGTCCCATCGATTATTATCCCAAAAATCTTTGACTTTGAGGGAAGAATCTAGTTGGTTTAGAGGTACGTGGATAAGAGAGCAAAGTGGAGAGAGGTTAGGGATCTGAGAACCAACTATATAAAATTTGTCTTTGCTTTTAGTATTTATAAAATTTTATATTATCTGCATTATATGTTTATAAGGTTCTCACTATTTTTATTCTCGATTGCGTAAACAAATTTTTGAAATTTAATTGCTACTAATAAAATTATTGATAAAAGTAAATTATTTTTATTATATTTATTCTGCTCATCCTTTTCATTATTAAGCATCGTTAAATTATATGCTTGATTACCATTTTTACTTTTTTCATTTTGAAAATAAAATTTAGTTATTATATAGGTAAGTTTATAGCATAGATATCGAAAAAGAAAAAAATATCTTGATATACTAAGAACATAAAAAAATTAAAAATATAAAAGAGATAGATGTTGATATTATAGAGGTTGAAATATGCATTTTAAAAAGGTTAATTGAGAAATAAGGGAGAGAATGACAATTATTTAAAGTAGAGGGGCAATTTGATTTTTAACAAAATTTGGAGGTGTAAAAAACTTCCATCCATTCATTTTTTTATGTTGTTCATTAATTTCTTCAAAAAAGGTTAGCAAATTTTGAAGATGGTGACCGCCAATAAATAAGCATAAGTATTATATGAAGAAATTAGTAAATGACTTGTTTTAATAAGTTTTAGCCAACATTTCAAAGCTATTCAAATTTAGCGAATTTTTAACAAAAATATCGTTAGCTAAAATACGAAAAAACTCTAGGAACTTTTATACAGTAACATTTATCACAAGTGTTTGAAAGGTGAAGTTCGAACTCCAAGAAAAATTCGTCGAGTTGGAAGTGTGGTAGTTGAAACTCCATGAAAATGAAGTCCAAGTCCACAAAGAAGAGAGTGGAGCAATCATCTTCTCTCACAATTTCACTATCAAGGCATCAAAACGTACTCATCTCACCTGTTTATTGCATTCTATTTGTTTTGGTTTGTATCAAACTGGAGTTGTCCTTCCATGCATCCGGAGATGTAGATGTTTAAGTTACCTTGGCCAGTGCTTCACCCAATTTGCTGCCCCAGGAGTAAAGATGCTGGAATACATAAATGTAGAATAGTATTTGGAACTTTAAAATCAAAGTAAACATCAATATACAGCAAAGATATCTCTGATGTTTTAATCAAACCTTATGAAGGGGTAGTAACTAAATCTTGGTTAGAAGGAGAATTGCCAGTCCATCTAGTAACAGTTATTGCTGTAATTTTAGAATACAGAAATAGAATTTTTTTCCTCCTATGGAATTGTTGTACAGCCAAGTACAAAGACAACCAGCCAGTCAGAATTACAGAAATGGCTAGTCTCCTATGTTCTTTGCTTTTCTTTCAGCCTGCAAACAAACATGTCAAAAATCCAGAATGAGTTTATCAAAGAACTTCTTAGCACAAACTGGAATGGATTTGACATTGTCAAAATTCTTAAAAATGTTGTCTTGCCGTTCTGAAAAATGGTTAGCAAATTTAGAAGGTGGTGACCGCTAATAAATAAGTATAAGTATTATAAGAAATTGGTAAATGACTTGTTTTAATAAGTTTTAGCCAACATTTCAAAACTATTCAACTTTAGCCACTTAAATGCGAAAATGAATTTTTAACAAAAATATCCTTAGCTGAAATACGAAAAAACTCTAGGAACTTTTATCAAACTGAACATTTATCACAAATTGTTCCTGATGTTTAAAAGGTGAAGTTCGCACTCCAAGAAAAATTCGTCGAGTTTGAAGTGTGGTAGTTCAAATTCCGCGAAATGAAGTCCAAGTCCACAAAGAAGAGAGTGGAGCAATCATCTGTTACTCTCTTCTCTCACAATTTCACTATCAGTGACTTGGTACGTACTCATCGCTGTAATTTTCTCACCCAGTTTCATACATATGGGAAATTGGAAGCAATAATTTTTTGAAGAGGAATAGCGGAAACCAGATTTGAAAAAGTAAGAAAAGAAGTAGAGAAATGAATTCACTGGGACATGCAGTTGTTTCCTTCATAGTTTTCTTGGCCAACCATACAAATTGTTTGAAAATGGCGTTCTTTATGTTAAACAGCCAAAACAGAACTTCAGCAGAGAAACCAGCCAATGAACCACATACTCGGAAGAAAAGCCAAAGAACACTAGTCCTAAAACCAGTGAGGAACCAGAAGCTAAAAATCTACCAGAAAAATATCCGTCCCGGAAAAGTAGTACAAGTGGCACTTCAGAAGAAGGAGAGAAAGCAAGTTCTTACAGTGAATCTGAAAATGAATCGAGGAATGCTAGTGAGTAGGCTGCAACGCGAGATGCTAAAGGAAAGCGACAAAATGACTCCTGCTGCTGTTTTAGTTCTTGGTATTGGACTCTATGTCACCACTATCAAAAATCATCATTTGAAATAAATCATAAATGCTAATAAGGTGAAATGATCTGCATCTCATGTATGCTCATTCAACACGACAGATAAAGCATAACAAGTTACGATAGAAGGGAAAATTGGACCAAGAAGCAGGATATCTCTGCATCTCAGGCCTGTAACCGTCAATGCAGCAGTTAAGAAAGAAGAAGAATACTCGGGCATGTCATTTAGTCAACTAAAATATGACAAGATTTTGTCAAATCCAAGACGTCAGTGACATGTCATGTAATTAAGAAGTAGTGCTAGAGCTCTTCACCAAATGCCATAACAGCATCCTTCATTTGCTAAAAACAAAGGGAAATAAAAGAGGGAGAGAGATAAATTAATAAGAGATAAACAAGACCGGTTGACTATTAGATGATGAAGTGATTTACCTTTTGCAAGGAAACTGTTGCCAGTGTCATTAATGCAAGATGTGCAACAGAATCTTCTGCTTCCGCTTCCTCTGCAGTCCAGTTTGCTCCAGGAGGACCATTGAACAATTCACCAGCCACTGCTGAGAGCACGGCTTAACTTCAGTATACTTGCGAGTCTTGAGGCCACAATCAAGGTTAAACCAGAGTATATTGGTATCCTGCAAGCATCTTCTTGATTCTGTCAGCAATTTCATCGGTGGATGGAATCCCGGATGTCGTAAATCCAGGACGAACGCCAGCACCATAATTCACTCTCTCGCGTAACACGGAAATTAGCTTCTCAGCTGACCTGGAGTTCTCAATGGTGTCACGTCAGCTCTATTGTCACAATTATGATTGATGTAATCAAGACCTTAGAAACTATCAAGAATAATGTTTCTACAGCAAATTCTAAGTTACAGATATTCAAAAAGTCAGAAAATGATAATACCTGAAGATAACTATATACCACTGAAAATGATAATCCTAGTAGACTTATAATGTGCACACATAAGGAAACTCACGTTACTTCTCATATTAAGAGTGCAATAAAATATGATCCGGAACCAAAAGCATAGTGGCAAAGGAATTAAAAATCAGAACAGGTGTACCTCTTTAATAAGCTAGCTTGGAAAGCTTAAGCAATGTTCTAATTGCATGCTTTCAGCTTCTGCCATTCCATTGGATGTGATTTCTTTGGCCAAGGTAAAAGGAAATTACATCATATTGATAACAAGTGAAATAAATATTCACTTCTAACTTCCTGAGTGAAATTGTGGTATCATGTTAAGCAAAGAAGGATCCTTTGCTGAAACGTCTATTAGTAACTCTACAGTACTTGCATCAAACGAGAAGTCCCTTCCACTCATTTTCTTCAAAAAAGTGTTCATTTCACTAATTTTGCCACACTTGAGAAATCCTTGCACAATAACATTGTAAGTGCAGTTGTTTGGCGAACAACCATTGTGCTCCATTTTTCTTAGCATATCTTTAGCTTCATCTAACAACCCTTCTAAACATAGTCCATTTATTATTGTAGTGTATGTAATCACATTGGGAAACAATCCAATCAAAGAAAGCTTCTCAAAAATAGCATGAGCTTTGTCGAGCTGACCATTTTTGCACAATCCGTCAATAATAACAGTGTAAAGTTCAATATCAATATCTTCTCTCTTTCTTTCCAACTCATGAAATAGAGACATACCTTTTTCAACAAGTCCATTCTGAAAATAACCACGGAGCAAAATGCGATTAGTGCATAAATCAGGTATGAGCCCCATAGAAAGCATATCAGCAAAGAATTTTTGCACAATGTCAGTTCTTCCAACTTCAAATAGACCTTGTAAGATAGTATTGTAGGTAACAATGCTAAATTTCAATCCGTTTCGAGAAATTTCATGAAACAAATGCATGGCCTCATCCAATTTCTTTTTCTTACAGTATCCATTTATTAATATGTTGTAGCTAATAATGGTAGGCTCAATGCTCTTATCTATCATGGAATCAAAAAGTCTCCTTGCTCTATCTATTTGACCGCGCAAGCAATATCCATCAATTATCACATTGTAGGTGACCACATTTGGCTCTACACCTTTTTCGATCAAGTGTCTCATTATCTCTTCGGCATCTTCAACTTTCCCTTCTTTGCAAAGTCCATCTGTCACTATGGTCAAGGTGCAGACATCTGGATAAATATTAAGATTTACCATTTCGAAGAACAAAGTCCTAACCTCTTCCCACTGACCAAGCTTACAGAAACCATCAATCAATGAATTATATGTGACAACGTTTGGAGGAATGCCTTTTTGTTTCATCTCTTCAAAAAGGCTAATTGCAGCATCTAACTTTCTATCTTTGCATAGGGCATCTACAACAATGCTATAGATGTATGCATTGGGCTTAGTGCTTCCTTGTTCCATTACCCTAAACAAATCGAAAGTTTTTTCAGTATGGCCCATTTTGCTAAGCCCATTCATGACAATTGAATACATGACTTCATCAGGCTCACAAATATTCTCTCGCACCAGCTTTTTGAACAAGTTAACTGCATCTTTTATCTTACTTTCCGCAAAGAGTCCTCTTAGTAAGGTGCTAAAGGTGACAACATTAAATGGAATGCTCTTCTTCAAGTAAATGGCTAACACCGAAAATCCGCAGTCAGAACTATGCATTAGGCAATAATTGTTGATCGCGATACTCAAGATGAAACCATCAATTGGGATACCCGATTTCAGCATTTGTCGAAAAAGGGAAACAACAGAAGAGTAATGCTTCATATTTACCATATTCTTCAATAATTTGGAGAAGCTAAAAACAGAAGGAAGAGGCTGAGTTCTGACCATTCGACGAAAGAGGCTCAGAGAATCATCTAAACACTTGACATTCTCAATATTGCTATGAGAAGAATAATAATCTCTAATTATAAATTCCGAACCAGAATGAGAATTAGCAAAGAATGAAATAAAGCCGGGAATAGTACCATTGTAAGAGCAACGCAGCAGAGGAATTCTCGTCATCTTCAATTTGGCTGAGGATGGTGTTCTGCTCTATCTCGCTGTGCCCTAATTTCAGTTATAGTTTATGAGCAGAGGGAGTCTGAAGTACAAAATAACGGGTGCCCTAATTTTGCAAGGAAACTTGTTTCTGATGAGCGTGTGTATTAGTTTTTGTTTGTCATGTTTTCTATCCATTGTTTGGTTCAAAACCAGTATAACGAATTTTCAATTTATATGAGTTACGTTATACCAAAATTTTAGTATAATAATAATGATAATACTTCTTTTAGCTAATAATTCCAACAAAAATAAATTTATCCCCATAATTTATACTTGAATAACTCACCTAATCTCTTGAATCAAACTACCCCTTACAGTCTTAACATGTTCAAATCAAAATTTTAGGTGACCGCTCCCTTCCCAACAATTTAAAATTGATAGAATAGTTTTTTTTTTTTTTTTAAACGAGCAAAATAGCTAAACCAATTTTTTAAAATAAGTCAATTCCTCAACTCTCGTATTTCTCAATTTTTACACTAATAGTTGATGGCATAAGTACTAATATAAACATTTCTGACTATTAACAATAAATTATTAAGTAAATGTGAAGAAATTATCAAGTATTTATTTTTATCTTCACCGCGATTTAAATATTATTACACATATAATATATGCCGTTATTTCATTAATGATTATTAATGTGTAATATGAGCAATTAATTATTATTGTTATTAATGATGGGTAAATCTTTTGATCAACCATAAACATGTATTTAATCCAAGTATAGCTTTAGAGTTTTTATCTCAACGTAGGATGATTATACATCCAATTAATCGTAGGATGATTGCTCGCCAAAATTACCTTAAACTCGTAGCTCAAAGTCTCAATATTAAGTTAAAATATGAATTTTGCAAAATATGATTCTTTTATATAATTGGTTTATTGCAATTACGAGGCCCTTGACGCGATCTTGGGCGCAAATCGAATCCAGCTTTGTTGCAGTTGCGAATAACCTTCTGCCATCGCGGGAACGAAGAGTTTTTCTAATCACATTTTACTGCTTCTTTTTCCACAAAATCTAAAAGAGGAGTAGAAATAACAGAATTTCATTAATGGGAAATAAGGAAATTCTATAAACCTTAGTGAATACTTATATCAAAAATTTTGTCACCTAATTGTTAGATCATGCAGCCTCACTAGTCTTCTCTTTGAGTCAGAGAATGAAAAATTCGACCCTCGTACTTTACTCCCACACTTCAGATTTCTTATTTAGGAGTTCTTCTCTGTGTTTTTTTTCTAAAAAATTGTGCAAGAAAACCTTGTAGCTAAAAGAAAAGATTTATAAACAAAGTAATGAAATTGGTTAAGGAATAGGTATTTTGAAAGAAAACAGAGAAAGCATCTCATGAAAGTTCTCTTTGAGGATTAATTTTGTGTATAAATACACTACAAAATTCATCCTTTCCATCAACAAGAACAAAGGCAAAAGGGAAAGATTGCAGCTACTGTAACAACTCAAGTATATGAAGATTTTGTGCCTCCTTCAAAGTTGGTTCAAGAAGAACACTCTGACACTCTTCACCTTAATATTGAAGAGACTCATATAGTGGACTCCAACTTGCTGGGAATTATTGTCGTCGTCGTTGATTATCTGTTCTCCTCCTCCGAAACATGCATGCAATACATTGTCCTTTTCCTAGACAATTTATAAATGATTCAAAATTCAAATGCATAGGTGCACCTCTTAATATGTACACATACTTTCTAGAATTTATTTAAATTTTGTTAAACTCAGAGATTGGTCGGATTTGATGAAGCCATGATTAGGGTTTTTAGAGAGAGAATGGAGAAGAAGAACGAGTAAAAATGTGTGTATTGAATAAAGTGTCAAAACTGTTTCAGAATCTTCCTTTAGGCCCTTTTATATGTTGGGCCTCTTATGTACAAATAATACAAAGAAAAACAGATCAATTAAATACAAATAATGGGCATGTGGCCCAAGGCAAACTAACTAGCTAAACTATCTGCAGTCCAGTTATTGCTTTCGCGTAACTCCAACACCCCACCCCACCCCCCTCAAGTTGGAGGGTGGACACACGCCCAACTTGCTGGATAAGGTGCGATGCTGCAAACCTGTCAAAGACTTAGTAAAAATATCAGCCATTTGAGAAGAGGTGGGAACATGAGACAAAGAAATGAGCCCACCAACTAACTCAGTTCGAATGAAGTGGTAGTCCACTTCGATATGTTTAGTACACTCATGAAATACAAGATTTTTGGCTATGTAAATTGCAGCATGGATGTCACACAACAAAGGAACATGAGTAGCAGAAGGAACACCCAGATCAGCCAACAACCGGACAACCTAAGTCAACTCTGCAACCACTTTACTCATGGCTCTGCATTCAGCTTCAGCAGAGGATAACGAAACAATAGGTTGCTTCTTAGACTCCCAACTAATGAGGCTGCCCCCAGATGAATGCAAAAACCAGTAACAGACCTCCTAGAAGCTGGGCATGCAGCCCAATCACTATCACAACTAGCTAATAAGGAGAAATCAGAAGAATTGTTAAGAAAAACCCCATGATCAAGAGTGCCCTTCAAGTACCTCAAAACATGCAAAGCAGCTGTCATGTGAGGAAGTCTAGGAGAGAAATTGGCTTAGATGCTGGATAGTAAAACAAAGGTCTGGCCTAGTATGGGTCAAGTAATTCAGCTTCCCAACCAAGCTCCTATATTTGTCAGGTTGTGGCAACAGATCACCAAAATCAGAATGCAACTTATGTGAATTGTCCAATGGACTAACAACTTCAGAAACATCAGAACAATTGTATTCAGCAAGCAAATCATTAATAAACTTCTTTTGATGCAAAACAACACCTGAAGTGTGATAAAAAAAACCTCAATACCCAAGAAGTAATTGAGAAAGCCCAAGTCTTTAATTCTGAATTGAGCATCCAAGAATGACTTAAGGGCATAAATCTCAGATAAATCATCTCCAGTAAGTATGATGTCATCCACATAAACAACAATGAAAACAAAACAAGTTTCAGTCTTCTTAACAAATAATGAATAATCATTCAAAGAGTGAGTGAAACCTCTAGAGCAAAGGGCTTGTGACAACTTTGCATACCACTGTCTAGATGCTTGTCTAAGCCCATAAAGAGATTTTTGAAGTTTGCATACCAAAGGGACAGAAGTAGAAGAGGAAGAAGGAATAGAAAGCCCGCGAGGAAGCTTCATGTAGACCTCCTCATCTAGGTCACCATGCAAAAAGGCATTGTTCACATCTAGATGAAACAAATGCCAATGCTTTTTAACTACAACAACAATCAAATATCTCACAGTGCATATCTTGACACCAGGGGAAAAGGTTTCATTAAAATCAATCCCTTCTACCTGAGTGTCCCCTCTAACTACCAACCTATCCTTGAATCTTTCCACACTACCATCAACTTTATATTTAATCTTGTAAACCCACTTACAACCTATGGGCTTCTTTCCAACAGGTTGTTCCACAATTTTCCATGTCTGATTTGCTTCTAAGGCTTCAAACTCTTTGGCCATAGCTTCCTGCCAGTCAGGGCTGGCAGCAGCCTGAATGTATGAATGAGGTTCTACTGGAGCATGTTGTGCAGCAGAAAGGGAGGAAGGAGTGGAAGAAGAAAGAGAAGAAGGAAGTTGTACAACAAAATCTCCCAAGTGAGATGGTATTTGGTGGGATCTAGAACTCTTTCTAAGTGCAGGAGTAGGATGAGTTAGAGGTGCGGATTGAGCAAGGTCAGGAATATGTGGTGGGGAAGCTGGTTGAACAGGATCAGTTGTAGAATGAGCATGTACAGATGAAGCACCTGGAATAATGACATTAGGAGGAGATGAGGCAGGAGGAGAAGAAAAGGACAGGTCAGATGGAACATCAGAAGAGAATATGGGAATAGAAGGAGGTGAAGTAAAGGAAGAAGTAGTAGAGGACATCAATTGATAAGGAAACACAGATTCGTGGAAAATGACATCTCTAGAGAACAAGACTGACTTAGTATGCAAGTTGTATAGCTTGTAACCTTTTTTTAGCTTATGCATTATACAAAGTAAGCAATAGTAGCAATTATAGAAGAAAATCAGAGAGATTGTGATAGATTAATGATTTTGTAAGAAAAATGAAAGAATGAGGGGGTATTTATAGTTGAAAATAGGGAAAAAATATAATTATAAAAAGTTTGGGATTAAAACAAAGTTGGGGGGGGGTTAAATGGCTATTTTATAAATAGCCAACGGCTATATTTTAAAAAAAAATATATTTAAATATAGCCGTTGGGACCGTTTGGCCGGTCCGGTCCTTGGCGGGCCAAATGGTCCCGGGCTTAGCGGGCCCAAAGCATAGGACCGGCCCAGGCCCACTAAAACCGGCCCATACGGTCCTGGCCCGTTTGGCCCGCGGTCCCGGGCCTGGACCGGCCCACTTGCCAGCCTTAGTTTCAAGTGAGTATGAAGGTGGACTGCCAATAGAACTTCAAATGGTGCCTTGTTGGACAAAACTGATGAGGGAAACCTATTTATAGGGTAAGTTGCTGTTAAGATACAGTCACCCCAAAACTTGGTGGGTAATTTGGATTGAAATAATAAGGCTCTTGAAGTTTCAAGGAGATGCTTGTGCTTTCTCTCCACCACCCCATTCTGTTGTGGGGTGTGGGGACATGTGGTTTGATGAATTATTCTAGTTTCAAAAAAGAATTGAAGGGTTGAATTAGAAGACCCAAGTTCTAACGCATTGTCACTTCTAATGACTTTTATGGGAAGTTGAAATTGAGTTTTGACCATTGTTATAAATGCCTTAATCAAGGTAAAGGCATACCTTCTGGAGTACAACAGGTGTGTCCAGGTTACCCTGTTGTAATCATCAACTATAGTCAAAAAATATCTTGCCCCACAATAGGATTGAGTGTGGTAAGGTCCCCAGGTATCCACATGAATTAGTTAAAACAGAGCAGTAGAGTGAGAAGAGCTATTTGGAAAGGACAATCTAGGTTGTCTTGCCAAAGGACAAACAAGACAAATGAAAGACTGCTTTGCTGACAAACTAGAAGAAATAGATGGTATATTTTTCATTTGTGCAAATGGAACATGACCCAATCTGTGATGCCAAAGAACATCATTTTTATTTATATGTGGATGACTATTACAAGTTGGCAATGAAACATGATTATTAAGAGAATCCAGAACATCTACATTTGCATTCAATGGGAAATAATTTACTTTTGCTATGGAATTAAAAGTAGAAACAGGTGAATCAGAAGCAACAGAAACAGGAATAAACTGTTTATTGTTGTCCATGACATTATGAGAAATAGGTGCAGAGTTATCAAAATTATCAGAGATGGATTGTGCAGCAGAAGTAGATTGGTTGAAGTAGAATTTGTATACTCCATGGTCCATTCTACCAAGCTCTAGAAGCTTCTTCATAGAATGGGCCTGTAGAAGTATACATGAATGAAATGTGAAAAAAACATAACATTTGAATTGAGCAATGAGTTTACTTAATGAAATCAAATTGTGGTGAAAGGTAGGTATGTATAAAACATGATGAAGAGTGAGGGAAGGCAACAAATTAAGGGCTCCAGTACAAGTAACTTTTACTTTGTAACCATTAGGCAAGGAGACTAGATAAGGAACAGGTAGAGGAGTAATGTTGAAAAGAAGGGTTTTATTTGAAGTCATATGGTCAGTGGCTCCAGAGTCCACTATCCATATCCTTCCAGCTACATTAGTCAACATGCGCACATTAGAACTACCATTCAAACATACAGGCAAGGAAGAAGAACTACCAGCAAAATTTGCAGAACCCATAATAGTAGGTTGAGATGATGATTCATTGAGACCAGATTGCTGAAGAAGACTCATCAATTGAGTATACTGATCTCTAGTTAAACCAGGTACCAATGATTCCTCAGCATGTGAATGATTGTGATCAGGAACCCCAGAAGACTGCCCTTCAACATTAGCAGCGGTACCAAACTTCTTTCCCTTTGTGAATTTGAAGTTCTGGGAAAGCCATGCAACTTATAGCATTTTTCAATTGTATGACCACGCTTCTTACAGTACTTGCAAAACAATGGAGCCTTGTTGTGATCAGAATTGAATCTCTGACTAGGTTGATCGAATTTTAGTTTCTGTGGATATTGTTGTTGAGGGGAGAATTGAATCTCTGACTAGCTGATTCTGAATAAGTTTGTGCATTTGGAAGGACTTGTTTTTGTTTTTCATCTTGGAGGAGTATATTGTAGACATTATCAAGGGATGGCAATGGGTGCATCATTAGGATGTTGCTTCTAACTCCTACATAAACTTCATTCAGACCCATTAGAAATTGGTGAACCTTATCTTCTTCCTTTTCTTTTTGGAGACCTTTTTTAGCAGCACAAGCACAAGCACTAGCATGACTGGTGCGCATAATCTCCGGCTCATCCCAAAGTTTCTTAAGTTTATTTAAGTAGGAAGCAATATCTAGAGATCCATGGTAAGTTGAGGAAAGTTCTCTCTTAATCTCAAAGACTTTAGTTCCACTAACAGTCCCATATCTATTATTTAGTTGCTTCCAAATACTCTCAATTGTCTCTGAATATTGTACAGTCTCAGCAATGTCCGGGGATAAGGAATTGGTTAACCATGATATAACCATGTTGTTACATCTATCCCATTACCTATACTGAGGAGAGGTCTCAGCAAGTTTAGTGCACTAACCATCTATAAAACCTATTTTGTTTTTTAGCGGGCAGAGATACTATCATATTACGCTTCCAACCCCCAAAACCTGTCCCAAAGAAGGGCACAATGACAAGAGATACGCTTGGGACATTGGAAGGAACGAGAAACAAGGGACTGGTAGGTTCAGGGACATAAGGACCAGTATTTGAACTGGAATCACTCATAATTTTCAGAGAATTTCTCAAAAGCAAGCAGCTAATTTCTAATAACAAAGAATCACCTAACACAACAAAATCAATAGATGTGTAAAAGCAGGAAAGAGTGTACCAAACTTCTTCGCGACCTGAAGAAGCGAAAGGCCTTAAAATTACTCAGATCTGAAAACCCTAGCTTCGAAGAGAACCTCCAAAAAAACCCTCAATGAATGGATGAAACGTACAAGTCTCCTAGAGATTGACTACGCTCCAACGCAATCGTGTAGAAAACTAGCAGAGCGAACAAAACTAGAAGAAAATTCCGACCTCGACACCGGCGAAGAACAAACGAGAAACTCCGATGACTAAGGAACTAAAAACTTCATGGGGTAACACCGCCGAGCTTAGAGGATGAAGGATCAACGATTTCGTGGCTCTGATACCATGTTAAACTCAGAAATTGGCTGAATTTGATGAAGCCATGATTAGGGTTTTTAGAGAGAGAATGGAGAAAAAGAACGAGTAAAAATCTGTGTATTGAATGAAGTGTCAAAACTGTTCCAGAATCTTCCCTTAGGCCCTTTTATATGTTGGGCCTCTTATGTACAAATAATACAAAGAAAAACATATCAATTAAATACAGATAATGGGCCTGTGGCCCAAGATAAACTAACTAGCTAAACTGTCTGCAGTCCAATTATTGCTTTCACGTAACTCCAATAAAATTTTATATCTAGTGGGGTTCCGTCTTGTGCACATGCGACTGTTTTACCATAATGAGAATTTACAAGGACTTTTTAAAACAAAGATTTTGCTAAACTACTAGATGAGAATTTTCCACTATGCTCGGCATAATTTTAACATTCTCCAAATGAAATGTTCATAATTGGATGAAAATGTCACATTCAATAACTTATTTTCATGCCTTATGTCAATCTGAGAAGTCATGTATTGACATCACAGCCAAATGTCTCCTCTTCATAATTTTCATAGCTAACCTTAAAAGATTATCTTCTACCTTCTCGTACATACTGATTTCATATATGAGAACAAGATTGAAATTCATCGGGTTTCAAGAAGGAACAACTGAAGGTTCACTTGAGCAGAACGAGAATTCCGAAGATCAGCGAACAAAGGCCAATTGGGCAGAACAAGAGGTTTCAGAAGGAATATCCTGTTGCGGAAAATTGTGATTAAAAGCAAAATCAATGCAAAGATTGAAATGGCATTCTTCATGTTAAACAGCCAAAACTAATAATTTCGGCGGTGGCAAAAGGATAAGGAATTGCCAGCCACTGAAGCTGCTGAAAAGACAGAAGACCTCTCTAAGAGATGGATTTACTAAGCAGGATAATGTTGATACTAATACCCCTGCTAAGGAGCCAGCAAAGGAAGAACAAATGAACACTAGTCCTAAAACCAGAGAGCAAACAGAAGCTAAAAGTCTTACAGAAAAGTCGCGAGCAGATAAAAGTAGTTCTTACAGTGAATGTGAAAGTGATGAATCATCTGCTGATACGATAGGTGATGAAACAATCGGAAATGCTAGTTGTTTGACTGCAAACCTGAAGAAGCCTAGGAAAGTGATGAAAATGACTCTTGTTGCTCTGTGGTTCTCACAGTGAAACTGAAAGTGAATCATCTGATGATGCGACAAATGATGAAACAATCGGAAATGCTAGTTGTTTGGCTGCAAATGTGAAGAAACCATGGGAAGTGATGAAAATGACTGTTGTTTCTCTGTTGGTTATTGGTATCAGCCTTTATTTCGTCAACGTGATAAAGCCTGCAAACAAAGCTGAAGAATGAGAATAGTCTTTCTGTAGCCTAAATTTGGTTGGATATTTGCATTTCCTCACAGATATGATTGTGAATAGAATAACTAACAAAGGATAACCTTTTCATTTCTAAAATGTAATCAATAAATTTGTATGATTCTTAAAACCATCATTTGAATAAATCATAAGATCTAATGAGGTGAAATGGTCTGCATCTCATGTATTAGATGAGTAGGCTTCCCCTTTGATTCNATGTAAACCAATTGCTCACGACATTGGTTTTTCCGTACGGCATTGACAATCTAGTCTAGCGTACGGCGAGGACCTCAGTTGGCGCATAGCAACCGCACTGACATCGGTTGCTTAGCCTTACGTCGCCCTTCCAAGGAACTTCAGGAAGGCGCCGCGTAACAGATCTAATGAGGTGAAATGGTCTGCATCTCATGTATTAGATGAGTAGGCTTCCCCTTTGATTCACAGAATGTGATATAGAATATGGTGGGAGTTGGCGTGTCTCGGTAGGAAAGAGATCACCGGAGTATAGGACAATATCATTCTTGTTGCCACGGGGGAGCTCATACATCCCTCCCCCCCCCCCCGAGGGGGGGTTGGGGGCTGGTAGGAGCCATCCCATCCCAATATCATATATTTGGAGCCCAATATGAAACCCTATTGTTCTAACTAAAAGGTAGAGCAAATGACCAAATCCAAGTCCTAAGTGCTCATCCAACTCGACAGATAAAGCAGAAAAGGTTATTATAAAAGGGAAATGGGATCTGAGGTCTGTAACTATCAAGCAGCAGTCAAGAAAGAAGAATACTTAGGCAAGCCAATTAGTCAACTAAAATATGACAAGAACTTGTTAACTCCAACATGTCTTATGATTAAGAAGAAGAACCGTTAAAGCTCTTAGCCAAATGCCAGAGTGCATTCCGCATTTGCCAAAAGAGAAAGGAAACAACAGGAGGGAACGTCAAAAAACAAACACATAGTTGAGCAGCTATTTAACAGACTACTTACTGATGATCATTTTTCATCGAATGATTTCTAAACCAAAATTATACGCAAGCATATTATGCAACGATCTATCAGTACAACTACAGAAATAGTAACTGACTTGGCATGTTTCTGAATAGTTAAATCTGCTCAATCGTAGCATGTAACGATTGCCTTAAATGAAACAGCTGATGAGTTTCACCAAATATGAGAGGGAGAGAGAGCCAACAAGAGCCTGACCAATCATCATCATCCGGCAGGTAAGGCTCCGAGGACGTCGCCAACTCAGGTGGGGGAGAATGTCATNAGAGAGAGAGAGAGAGAGAGAGAATACATACGTGGTATCAATATGTGTGTGTGAGGTATGTATGTGTGTGTTAAATTGAGAGGATGAATGTCCATGCCAGAAGTCATACTTTGTTCACCTAATAATCCTGAAGAACAGCAACCACAACTAAACAGAATAAAGACAATACCTAAGGGGCAACAGAAAATCCCCTGCTAAGTTCGTAATAATACTTCTTAACTTCCACAAACAATTCAATGTTCCAGAAAATAAAATATACAAATACTTTAAAAATATGGTAGCTTTATACATCCTAGATTCAATTCAGCCTTTGTGTTTAAGAAGATGATAATGTAACAAAACATGCCTTTACTGTCACACATAATTGGCTACGGTTCTCATTGGGGTATTTCAAGCTCAGAGCAAACCACTTATCTTCACCAATAGGAAGCACAATAGTACCTGTAGGGAAGACCTCATCTGGAATGGATTTGTACACTCTGACCCAGTTGCAAAGGAGGTAACTTTTGGTTTCTACAGACTTTGTCGCACTAGAATTTGCATTCGAGCTGGTAGATGAGTCGAATGGTTTCATTTCAGTTAATGATATAGTTTCTCGAGGAAAATAGCACAGTGATTCCACTAAAGAAGGTGATCGCACTAATCTTTTCAGCCCTCATGTACTGTGGAGATGTATGAGAACAATACTTGTTTCGCTCTGTAAAAAATTAGTGTTGGGATCAAGGTTTAAAAAAACAGATTTCTAACTCAATATTAGAACTTGAAACCGGGAAGGAAGTATCTTCAGGAAATCTCTCATTTGACATCTAAAGTATAAGTCTTTATTATATCTTTAGTTGTTGTCCAAGCAACGGCAGAAGCTATTTTCCTATTCAAGCATTGTACAAGCATGCAACATAAACTTCACTGTCTAACCTATAGCTCATTTTTTTTGAGAAGGTAACATTAATCTATAGCTCTTTCTCCTAAACAATAATGTATCATCAGCGAGCCAAACTATATAGTTCCAATAATCCTAGACAAAAAAGAAGCGAGATACACGAGGAGTTAAATGTGATTGAGTCAATCATTTGTTCTTAGTTGCTCATGGACTTCACATTTTAAACACTTGATATTCATAGAGTTGCACGCATTAAGGAAGTATCATTGTTTTCTGTAAACTATACAAGAAGGAAACATGAGTGCATAACATAATATGGAGAGAGAGATTGAATTCTCCACACCCTTAATTTAAAACAAACTTCAAGTGGCAATCAATCAACCAATCAAGAATTCTTCAATCACAAACTAATTGAAGACGCTAATTTGAATTCTCTGTATCTATTCCACTCTCCTAATAAATTCAGAGGATTCGTCACAGCTAAATTATTTTATGCTGAGAATTCTTATTTTTTATCCGGACCTGGGACCTACTATGCTTTTCATATAGACAGTTAAACAAACTTCAAGAGTGAAAAAAAATGAAAAGAAAGAAGAGAAAAAATGATTTTTCTATAACAAAATTAGAACAACAACTATGCCTCTGTCCAAGCTAGTTGGGGCAGTTATATGAATCCTCAGTATCATTTTTGCTCTCTTTCGGTCCATAATATTTCAATACTCTGTATTTAAGGATTATTTAACACTAGGGGTTCACTAACATACTCTAATGATTATATCACTATAACAAACTTGGAGAAAAAACATCAGATCAGACTTGACTATTTGAGTTCGCAAATTAAAGAGTAAAATTCAAGGGGAAGGCTAAAACCAGAGCTTTTATGTGGAAAATGATCAAATAGATCAAAAAATGGGCATCAATACTAGTCAAACAAACACCTAAAAACATAACTTTATTTAGAGATATACTTCGTACACCAGAAGTAAAATGAAGGAAAGCAAACTTAGCAGCTTCATTATGGGTTGTGATCTGCTCCATCTTGCACGTCTTAAGGCCATAGTCGGGGTTGACCCAGAGGATGATGGTATCAAGGACTGCAAGCATTTTGTTGATTATGTCAGCAATTTCTTATGTTGATGGAATCCTTGGTGAATGGATGTTGTCCACGGCCAATGCCAGCACCGTACTACACTCCCTCATGGAACACAGAAAGAAGCTTCTCATCTGACAGGAAGTTATGATATGATTCTCAAAATGCCAGAAAATGACAATACGTAAAGTCTACTAAATACATTGAAAATGCTATTCCTAGACTTAAAATGAGTACCCACAAGGAAATTCTATCGTTTCTCACATTCAGAGTGCAATAAAATATGATTTCCAAGATAAAGTAGAGTGGAATAACAATCAAAATACTAGAACTGATGTACCTCCTCAATAAGTTTGCTTGGAAAGCTCAAGCAATGTTCTAATTTCCATTCTTTCAGCTTCCGCAGCTCCATTAAAAGTGATTACTTTCGCAGAGGTAAAAGGAAATTCTATCACGGTGATAAGTATAGCTGAATAACTCAAGTGAAATAAATATTCACTTCTTACTTCCCGAGGGAAACTGTGGTATCATGTTAAGCAAAGAAGGATCCTTCGCTATAACATCTATTAGTAACTCTAGTGTACTTGCATCAAACGAGAAGCCCCTTTCATTCATTTCATTCAAAAAAACTTTCATTTCACTAATTTTGCTAAACTTCAGAAATCCTTGGACAATAACATTGTAAGTTGCATTGTCTGGCGAACAACCATTCTCCTCCATTTTTCTTAGCATATCTTTAGCATCATCTAACAACCCTTCTAGACAAAATCCATTTATTATTATAGTGTATGTAATCACATTGGGAAACAATCCAATTAAAGAAAGCTTCTCAAAAATAGCATGAGCTTTGTCGAGTTGACCATTTTTGCACAATCCGTCGAGTACAACATTGTAAAGTTCAATATCGGTATCTTCTCTCTTTATTTCCAACTTCTGAAATAGCGACATAGCTTTCTCAACAAGTCCATTCCAAAAAAAAAACACCGAGCAAAATGCGATTAGTGCATAAATTGGGTTTGAGCCCCGTATATAGCATCTCAACGGCTAACCACAGGTTAAAGAGCTTAAGTATTTCTGGCATCTATAATGTGAAGAGAGCGCAAAGTCAGTTTTTCCAACTTCAAATAGATCTTGCAAGATAGTACTGTAGATAGCAATGTTAGGTTTGGGTCCATTTCGAGAAATTTCATGAAACAAATGCATGGCCTCATCCACTTTCTTCTTCTTACAGTATCCATTTATTAGTATGCTATAGCTAAAAATGTTAGGCTTAATGCTCTTATCTATCACGCAATCAAAAATTCTCCTTGCTCTATCCATTTGGCTGCGCAAGTAATATCCATCAATTATCACATTGTAGGTGACCACATCTGGCTCTACACCTTTTCCAATCATGTGTCTGACTACCTCCTCAGCATCTTCAACTTTCCCTTCTTTGCATAGTCCATCTATCACTATGTTGAAGGTGCATACATCGAGATAAATATTCAGATTTACCATTTCTAAGAACAAATTCCTAACCTTTTCCCACTTACCAAACTTACTAAGACCATCAATCAATGAATTATAAGTGGCAACGTCCTGAGGAATGCCTTTTTGTTTCATTTCATTCAAAAGGCTAATTGCAACATCTACCATTCTATCTTTGCATAAGGCATCTATAACAATGCTATAGATGCATGCATCGGGATTAGTGCTTCCTTGTTCCATTACCCTAAGCAAATCAAAAGTTTTTTGAGTATGACCCCTTTTGCTAAGCCCATTCATGACAATCGAATACATGACTTCGTTGGGCTCGCAAATATTCTCTCTCACCAACTTTTTGAACAAGTTAACTGCATCTTTGATCTTATTTTCCGCAAAGAGTCCCCTTAGTAAGGTGCTAAAGGTGACCGCATCAAACGGAAAGCCACTCTTCAAGTAAATGGCTAACACTGAAAATCCGCATTCAGAACGATGCATTAGGCAATAATTAGTAATCGCGATACTCAAGATGAAATCATTAACTGGGACGCCTAATTTTCGCATTTCTCGAAAAAGGGAAACAACAGCAGAGTAATGCTTCATATTTACCATATTTTTCAATAATTTGGAGAAGCTAAAAACAGAAGGAAGAGGCTGCGTACTGACCATTCGACGAAAGAGACTCAGAGCACCATCTAAGCACTTGACATTCTCAATATTGCTATGAGAAAAAGAATAATATCTGATTGTAAATGCCGAACCAGAATGGGAAATATCAAAGGAAATACCATTGCAAGAGTAACGCAGCAGAGGAATTCTCGTCATCTTCAATTTGGCGGATGGTGCTTTGCTCTATCTCGTCATCTTCAATTTCAGTTTTTGGATTCTGTAAATACAAAATAACGGTGTGAACTTTTTCTTCCTTTTCTTCACTTTTCCAATTAAAGTTCTACTAAAAACAATGTCTTTAGAATATGCTATCCCTTTATCCTACATAATATTTATTTTGTTCTTGTCGTTTTTAATTCCCTTTTCTATATAATAATTATTTTACTAATTTCTATATCCGTGTTTAACATATAACGCCCCAACTAAGGAAAAAAAAATGAAAAAACAAAAAATAAAAAAGTAAAGAGATTGATTTAGAATATACAATACGACTGGGAGCGAACAATATTACATTTCATGCAATTTATGTTTTAAACATCACTTTTTTTAGCTAATTCATATCATGTTTATCACAATTATGTTTAAATTATTTATATGAACAAAGTGGACAAGAAAGTCTTTTGGTGGATATATGAGAATAATTTACCGATTGAACTATAAGAACTTATTTCTTATAGTGGCTTTTTTATTATAAGAATGAGAAGAAGCTTTTGGTATTTGAAAATGTCAACAATGTATGTTAGACTTGCGGTCTATCTACACGCGCTACCAGTCATAATCTTATAATTAATCGATTATAACTCTTTTCTCTCCTATTCGACCTCATTCTTCTTTTGTATTGTTTTCTTTCTTTCTCACATATGATATTAAGATTTAATTGATCTCGATTAATACATTTTCATGACCCAAATCCCACTGTAGGCCGTGATGGCACCCAATATTGTCGTTAGGCAAGTCAACAACTTAACAACACACCGATCAATAGTTCATAACACATTTTATAATAAGTGATGAAATAAATAAGCGGAATTTCTCTGTTTTTATATAAAAGTACTGATATAATATTAAATGGTCAAACGTGGTTGAAATATAAATTTGAATATCATCACATCTATACAACCAAGAACGAGAATCTAAATCCCCAAAACTCGGTGTTACAAGCACATGAGCATCTACTAGAATATACAATACTATTGTAACAACTGTCTGCAATAAAATAATAGACATAGTACAGTAAATAGATAGGACGGGGACTCTATGTGCTACGGATCATAACATAAAGAGCAGTTCACCACAAAATCTCCTCAACAATTGTGCCTACGAGCTCAGATGACCGCCAAATGTGCATGCCTCGGTACCTGCACAATTAGTACAGAAGTGTAGTATGAGTACATAAATTGTCACGACCCGAAATTTCCACCTTCGGACCGTGATGGCAGCCTAACATTTCACTTGCTAGGCAAGCCAACGTTAGAATAATATTAACTAATTTTTAAATAATTTTAAATTATTAATAATCCAAGAACAAATGCGGAAGCAAGTTTGAAATATAGTGAATAATCCATAAAAATAATGGTGTCTAAATATCATCCCAGAATTGGTGTCACAAGTGCACGAGCTTCTAGAATAAATACAAATAAAGGTCTGAATAAAATAAAGTTGTCTGGACATAATCACACAGCTAAAGTAAAATAGGCGGGGACTTCAGATCTGCGTACGCCATGCAGTTATACCTAGGGGTGTCAATGGATATTTGAAAACCGACTAAACCGATCGAACCGTACCGCACTGAACCGACTTTTAGGTTTCTTTAAAAGAAATTGTAGGTTTTTATATAAATCTATAACCGCACCGATAATTAGGGTAGATTTTTTATTTTATTAAATCGAAAAAATACCGAACCATACCGAATAAATTTTATATGTGAAAAATATATTTATAAAGTATGTTTAAAATAATAAAGTATTAAATTTTTATTTGGGCCTTGGAATTATGAAAATTGTTACAAGCCAATAAGTAATTAAACTCAAAATACTAATTCCTAAAACCTATTATGCTACTTCTACTTAAACTAAGTTATTTCAAGTATCTTCATTGGCAAGACACAAAGTATTCCAGCGATTATGAGTAACAAACTACAATGTATTGAATATGTTTTCTTTCATATAATTTAGATTTATCTTTTTGAATATTTAATCTTATATAGACTTTATTCTTGAGTCCCAACTTGGTTAATATATTTCCACTAGTGTGATTTATATTTTCTTTGCCTTTGCTTGGTTTCTTTTACGTTGCTGTAGAATAGCTGATGGATCTATACTCTACCCATCTTTCATGTTTTTTACTTTATCACCCTTTAAACAGTAAAAATGTCTAGAGAGTTTTGCTACGTCCTATAAAATAACGTATGTTATTGCATTATAGTATTATACTTCTACTGGGAAATTTTACATGACATTTTAAAAAAATACCGAAAATTAATCGAACTGTACCGATATCGAAGAAAAACCAATATGATTGAGACGGTTTCGAAAAATTTATTTTTGGTTATACATAATAGAATAACCGAAAATTGGCATGGTACAAATTTTATAAAATAACCAGCTGAACCGAACCATTGACACACCTAGTTATACCTCAAGTCTCCTCTGGTAGCTGAAATCCGAGAAAATCTATGGTACACCACTGGGACCAACTCCGAAATCTGCATAAGAAATGCAGAGTGTAGTATCAGTACAACCGACCCCATGTACTGGTAAGTGTTGAGCCTAACCTCGACGAAGTAGTGACGAGGTTAAGGCGGTTCTCTTACATTACATGTACGCAATATTAGTAACAACAACAATAATAGAAATAAATCAGGTAACTCATTTATAATAATTGAAGTCAATTCAGCAGTCATAACCAATTATCCTTTCCATCAATTCAGTTGCAGCGTGCAACCCGCTCTCACAATATATTCACATTCAATTCTGTTGCAGCGTGTAACCTGCTCTTACAATATATTTATTTTTAATCAAGTCTGTTGCGGCGTGCAACCCGATCCTCCAATATAGACTTTTAATAAGTCTGTTGCGGCGTGCGACCCGATCCTCCAATATAGACTTTTAATAAGTCTGTTGCGGCGTGCAATCCGATCCTCCAATATAGATTTTTAATAAATCTGTTGCGGCGTGCAACCCGATCCTCCAATATGGACTTTTAATAAGTCTGTTGCGGCGTGCAACCCGATTCTCCAATATATTCATTATAATCAATCTTGTTGCGGCGTGCAACCCGCTCCTCCAACATATTCATTTACCAATTCTTATAGAAGAAATTTTTTTAATAAATGTAACAATTAATATAAAATTATAAGACAACAAGCATACAATAATTATGGTTTAATTATGAAGCAAACAATGACAAATAACAAATTATTATGGAAATCAGGGAGCAAATAGACAGTTTAATATTTAATATGCTAAATGTCAAATAACAATTAAGGCACATAATTCAAATAACATGCAACAATTAATGCAGGAATTCAAAAATTAATATTTGACAAAGAATAAGAGAGAAACAATTATTATAATATTTAATTTATGATTAAAAATAATTTATGATTTTTCAAGTAAGCAGGCAAACAATTAATTTGACGACGTATAGATACTCGTCACCTTGCCTATACGTCGTTCACATGCAATTCACATAACAAATAATTTAAGGGTTCTATTCCCTCAAGTCAAGGTTAACTACGATACTTACCACGCTTTGCAATTTCCAATCAATTATTCAACCACAACTTTTCTTTTTAAATTTGCCTCCGAAAGCTTCAAATCTATTCACAAATAATTCGATATATTCAATACGAACCATAAGAATTAATTCCATATGAATTTACAAATTTTTCGGATAAAAATCCGAAATTTATTAAAATATTCAGCAGTAGGACCCATGTCTCAAATCCCAGGAAAACTCGCGAAATCCGAACACTCGTTCCGATACGAGTTCAACCATACAAAATTTGTCCAATTCCGATATCAAATGGACCTTCAAATCTTAATTTTTTATTTTTGAAAGATTTTTGAAAAATCTGATTTTTCTTCCATAAATTCTCGGATTTATGATATAAACGAGCATGGAATCATAAAATATAATCAATATAGGATAAGGAACACTTACCCCAATGTTTTCCCGTGAAAATCGCCCAAAACTAGTCTCTTGAGGTTTTAGGTTTTGAAGATTTGGGAAATGAATCAAAAATCCCGTCCAAAAGTCATTTTGTTCAGCTGCAGGTGTCGCAATTGCGACTTGAGCTTCGCAAATGCGAAACTCCCAAATGCGAAGAAACACTCGCAATTGCAATGCCCTTCACAATCCCGATGCCTTCGCAAATGCGAAGATTATGTCGCATTTGCGACAATTGGCCTTATGCAATTGCAAAGATAAACTCGCAATTGCGAGAACTGTTGGCCTAGGCTTTCTTCGCAATTGCGATAAAAATCTTGCAATTTTCATACCTGCTTGGTTCGCATTTGCGATGTCTGATCTCGCAATTGCGAGATCAGGGGCCTGCAACAGGTTCAGTTATACCAGCAAAATTTTCTAACTTCAAAACATCCCATGGCCTATCCGAAACTCACCCGAGCCCCTCGGGACCTTATCCAAATATCCCAACAAGTCTCGTAACATCATACGGACTTACTCGGGGTCTGAAATCACATCAAATAACATTAAAATTATAATTCACACCTCGATTCAGACTTTGAGTTTTTTAAACTTTTCAATTTGTAAATCTCGTGCCAAAACATATTAAATGAATCCGAAATGACTTCAAATTTGGCACACAAGTCATAAATGACATAACAGAGCTGTTCAAATTTTCAAAATCAGATTCCGGCTCCGATATCAAAAAGTCAACCCCGTGGTCAAAATTGGAATCTTTAGCCTTTAAATTGCTAGTTTCGTTAAATGGTCATAATTTGAGCTAGGGACCTCCAAATTAAATTTCGGGCATACGCCCAAGTCCCAAATCACGATACGGAGCTACCGAAACTGTCAAAATACTGATCCGGGTCCGTTTGCTAAAAATGTTGACCAAATTCAACTGACTTGAATTTTAAAGCTCTATTTCACATTTTAATTCATTTTTCATATGAAAACTTTCCAGAAAATTGTACGGACTGCGCACACAAGTCGAGGAATGATAAATGATGTTTTTCGAGGTCTTAGAACACAGAATTACTTATTAAACTTAAATATAATATTTTGGGTCATCACATAAATCAAC